GATGCCACTAGCTTTTTAATTTTAACAGCCGGGTGGTCGGGGTTCAAAGATATTAATAAAAGGGCGCCACGAGATTATACTCTATGAACTCGGTATAAAAGATGTTACTATTAAGTAGACTTCAACACTAACCTCGAACTGTTGAGTGTAACTACCATGAACTTCAAATATACTATAATTACTTGAACTTGTGTGACTCTAACTTAACTATGAGACTCGACTGTAAATAATACTACTAAAAATATTTAAGCAATTTATTGAAATATTAAAAGTTAAATAGGATATATAAAATAAACGAATAGAAAATGAAAAATGAATGTAAATGACTGAAAATGTAAGTTAAATCAGTATGTAAATCAATAAGAGCTAAACCTATGACGTCAAACCCCCTTAGCTAACTTATACTAAATACAGTCAGGGTGGTTTATAAATAGCAAATCTAAATCTAAACAGTCTTACTCTACTCGATGTGATACACTTGAAAACTTCCTCCGGCTGAGCTACGGTGTATATATAGCTACAGGGTTGCTAAGGCGGTGTACAGCAGCTCGATGTACTGTCACTGGAGCCCACGGATATCAGCAGAGGTACAGGTGAAAGGTAGGTGTTGAGATTTCAAATGGTGAACATAAAAACCCTAAATAATATTGGTTGTCTTAGAAAAGAGCCTCAATTATAGAACAAGGACTAGCACAACGTGTAGGAGTTAATAAAGGTAATAAAGAAGGACTAATCAAATCTGAACTTTACATCAACGAGGGTTTATGATGTCCAACGGGTAACTCTACACACGGCAACAGGAACGGATGGAATTCTGGACTGTTCTTGTGCTACGGTCTGATCGGTCTTCTTGCTCTACAATTACGAACAACCAAACAAGACTTAAGAAAGATAACACTCAACTAATCTTTCTACACCACGTGGGCGAGGAAAAGTCGAAAACCAGTCAACTATACGAATAAAAATCAGTTGAGCATTGACTTAGAATAGGCAGAAGAATTATAGCATACCTTGGAACTGTTCGGGGACTTCTTGGGCACGTGGAATCGGAATATCTGTCGGAAAAAGGCTATTTTAATCCCATTACGGAAATTCGTCGGCGGTCCATAAAATCATCAAAATCCAACCACGTCTCTGACCAAAGGTGTTTCGGAAGCCTTAATCCTTCTTTACGAAGACCTGCTATTCGCCAACAGGGAATGCTTCACGAAACGGCAGCCAGTTCTTCACGACGATATTCGGTCGGGGGTACACCAGAAGTGATGCAAGGATTCAATTTCACAAAAATCAGATTTCAACCGGAAATCTCCTCCAGGATATAGATAGAGAACTATATCGTGACTAGTCCAACTCACAAAAAGGCATAAATAAAAAATGATGTTCTAGATTATTTTCACAGCCATCTTCGATATCCGGTCAATGAACGAACTAAACTCACAAATTCCCACAATTAAATGAACGAATTGCACACTGCGATCCACATCAAAAATAACCAATTTAACTACGAAATTTTATCTGATAATTATAAAATTTCAATAACCAAAACAAAGGATAAATAAATCCAAAAACATCTGATTTGATCTGACAGTGACAAGTGACAAGTGATGACCAAAGATAAAAAAAAGTCGACAAAAATTCTAATGCTGGGCGGCATCCAGTGACAATATTCTGTGGCTCTAAAGCGCGGTGTATATCGGGTTGCATAATTGTAAAATTTAAATAAAATAATATTTAACAATAAAATTATAGTAAACATGATGGAAAAATAATAGCTATTTGCGATATTTTATGAGCTAGCACACAGAGGTCGTTGCGAGGAAATTTGACTGTTACACGAGTATTAAAAATGAATCGTGGCATTTGATTCACTCCTTAGAATACGGTTTGGTTTCGTTTGGTTGCACAATTGAATCGCGGTGAGCACGGTGTTGTATTATTGTTCAGAGACTCGACTTGAGAATAAACAAGGAGTCGGCAGACAAACTATAAACAGAAACTACAGCTACAGATTATTATCACTGTCACGACATAATAATATACACATAATGCAGCCAGCCGTGCATATTACATACCGAATTGTGTGGTTATCTACACACGGACCCATAAAATTTGAACGAACGAGTTGTAAAAACGAGTCAAGAAAATTGAATCGGATCACAATGCGATCGTTTGTTTCTACGGCTCGTTCGTTCAGATTCGTGAGAATTAATTCATTGCTTACAATACGGTTCGCTCAATTGAATCGTGGCAAGCACGGATCCATATAATTTGAACGATTAGCCGTAACAATTGAATAGGATCACAATGCGATCGTTCGGTTCAGCAGCTCATTCGTTCACAGTGGTTCAGATTCATTGCATACAATACGGTTCGCTCAATTGAATCATGGCTAGCACGGATCCATATAATTTGAACGATTAGCCGTAACAATTGAATAGGATCACAATGCGATCGTTCGTTTCTGCAGCTCATTCGTTCAGAGTGGTTCAGATTCATTGCATACAATACGGTTCGTTCAATTGAATCGTGGCCAGCGCGGATCCGTAAAATTTGAACGATGAGCCGTAAAAAAAGTCGTAAGAATTGAATCAGATCACAATGCGACTAGTTCGTTTCTACGGCGCGGCGCAGCCTGGCGATAGCGCGGAGAAAGTCGGGTACCAATATTCCCATATAACACACAATATCCGCAGGATATTCATAGAATATCGGAATGTCCCATTATAAGATCATCTTATAAAGACATCTACAGGATATCCTCCAGACATCCTGAAATCCTGTAGATGTCTCAGAATAGAATATCCTATGGATATCTCTGTCGTATATCTAATGTACAGGGTGTCTCATTTTGGTTGAAATCATACGGTATCTCCGTTATTCGTGAAGATAGAAGGGTGCGGTTTGCACTACCTGTGCCACTTTTTTGTCAAATGGAAGATGCCGTAAACAAAATTTTCATTGTTCTCTTCGTTTCTGAGCTACAGGGTCTTTTTGAAAATTTTGCAATTTGGGACACCCCCCGTATCTCTGTTATTGTTAAAGGTATTGAGACGGTGAAAACTGTTTATTTTAGAACTTTTTACGTAGAATACAGTGATGTAGTGTGTTATTCTACGAAAATAATATTTTTAAAGATATGAACTAAAGTTATGTTTTATTAAATGGAACACCCTGTATATTTATAAATTATATGATCTGGCTTGTTATAAGCTTTTCAAAAATATATAACACTCTATTTTTTTTTCATTATTTAAGGCAATATTTAAAAAAACATATTAAAAGATCATTTTTTTAGTAGGCCATGATTGATAATAAAAGAAACTAAAGAATTATTAACAGTAATACTGCTATCTGTCTCTTGTTTTATTTTGAGAGCCACTAATTAATTCTTTGTATATTAGGGAAACTTAAATCTCTACCGCTATTTGTAAATCTAGGAAGCTATCGTATCGGAACTTTTAAATATTCCTGTAGCTAATTTACGTGAAATATACTTTCAGGAAGATGGGGCTCCCCCTCACAACTTAACTTACAACGAAAATATTAGAATTTTGTTAAATTATTATTTCTCAAATCAATGAATTGGAACCAATGTACCTATATGATGCCTCCCTGATTTGTCTGTTCTCGATTTCTGATTTTGGGGATTTTTGAAATATGAAATATATCGTGGCAACTAATACGATGTTAAACACCTGAAAAATGCTTTAATAATGCAAGCTTGGATATTTGCAAACCCATCCCATTATAATAAATTCCGTTATAAAAAAGAGAAAAATATATTTAGAGGTTCAGTGGTAACAGTTCAAAAATAAAATATATCAATTCCAAATAAAATTTTAATATGTGCATGTCTATTTTAGTAAATACCATTTTGTTATTTATCACGGCCTACTAATAAGAAAATGATATATTTTAAATATTGTAGTAAATAGCGAAAACAAATATAGAGTGATAGATATATTTGAGAAGCTCATATCAAAGCGGATCATATGATTTATAAATATACAGGGTGTTCCATTTGAAAAAACATAACTTTAGTTCATATTTTCAAAAATATTTTTTTCGTAGAAAAACAGACTACGCCACTGTATTCTACGAAAAAAAATGTTCTACAAGAACTGGCTTTTCACCATTTCCGATATCATACATAATAACGGAGATACGGGGGCGGTCCCAAATTGCAAAATTTTCGAAAAGACCCTGTAGCTCAGAAACGAAAAGGGTTATAAAAATTTTGTTGACAGCATCTTTCATTTGACAAAAAAGTGGCACAGGTTTGTAAAAACCGCACCCTTCTATCTTCACGAATAACGGAGGTACCGTATGATTTCAACCAAAATAGGACACCCTGTACATCCAGCTGAGATATCCAAACATGCTCATGATAATAAAATATCCTAACAATATCGTCTAGATATTTAGGAAAAATAAATAATGTACTACTTTTTATATTACATAAAATGCAATAAACCATACAGATAGATATATATTACGTCACGGCAACAAAATATCCTGTTGGTATCTTCTGGATAATCTGGATATTTATGAGCTTGGCCACTCCCAGTAATACAGAGAATTCAAATCGCCTGCGCAAAAAATATCCCACAATCCATCTCGACAGTTGTTTGTTTTTGCATCGTGTACTATTCAGTTCTTTGATTTAGTGAAATTCGGTCGTTTGTCGATATTGAATGGAATTAACCCTTAACCACAGAGTTGCGGTCTGTCAGACCTTTAGCATGTTGCAACTTTTTATATATCCCCACCCGTGCGCCGTTTGAGCGGCGCGGTATCATCTACCTTTCCTTCCGTCAGTAACGCCTCGACAGCCGACAGGCTAGTGTGTTGTTTTTAGTAGTGCTATTGCTATACGTAACCATACAGATAGATAAAACTTAAACGCGGTCTGAGAGACCTGCCGTCTGTGTAAGTGTAACAAATTGTATATTTAAAATATTTGTTAATTGCATGAAATTTTGCATTCTTTAGGTACATATATGGATTCTTTACCGGGAACATCTGCCTCAGTTCTTTATGGTGATGAAAATTATGAAAAACAATTGCTGAACTGGTATAATGAAATTGATTCTGACGATAGCGATAACGAAACTGAACTTGATCCAAATGAAATAGAAGAATCTGTACACGACACAGAAAGTGAACAGGAAGATGAATCTGAAGATATAGAACATAATAAAAACGAGAGTGACAATGAAGAAGAATTAGACGAGTCTGAAGAGGATGAAATAAGGAACAATTACTTCTACGGAAAAGATCGATATAAATGGTCAAAAGAGCCCGCAGTAAGTAAAAATACACGAACAATGAAATACAATATTGTTACAAAATTACCAGGCATTAAAGGAATATTTTATGGGGAGAAACAAAACAGTGCCTTATCTATATGGACCAGCTTAATCACTAATGATATGTTAGATATTATTATACGATGGACAAATGTAAGGTTGAGAAGGGAGAGGTTAAAATATAAAAATCAAAATCACAGTGACCTTCGTGACTTTGATGTGACTGAGTTAAAAAGTTTCATAGGGCTTTTGTTTTTCACCTCAATTTTTAAGTCTAATACTGAAAATATTAGATCAATTTTTGCAACAGATGGTTCAGGCAGAGATATTTTTCGTTACGTTACCAATGCAAACCGTTTTGCAATTCTTTTAATTTGTTTGAGATTTGATAATCCTAACGATAGAAGTGAGAGGAAGAAAAATGATCCGATAGCACCTATTTCTGAAGTTTTTAATTTATTTGTAGCAAATTGCCAAAGGCTATATACTCTGGAAACTGGAGCATGTATTGACGAAATGCTAATTGCCTTTAGAGGACGTTCAAAATTTAAAATATACATGCCCAACAAACCAGCGAAGTATGGGATGAAACTGATGGCCCCGACCGATGCTAGGACGTCCTATTTCTATAATGGGTATTTATATTGTGGAAAAGATTCGGATGGCTTGACTTTAAGTGACGAAGATAGAAGAAAATTCGCTAAACCTTCTCAATCAGTTCTTCGATTAGCCAAACCTATATTTGGTTCTAACCGAAATATAACCACAGATAACTGGTTCTCGTCTGTGGAACTTGTCGATATGTTAAAATCGAAACAGCTAAGTTTTGTAGGAACACTAAAAAAGAATAAAAGGCAGATACCTCAAGAATGTTTGCCTTCGCGTTCAAGAGAAGTTGGTAGTTCTGTTTATGGGTTTACAAAAACTACAACTTTGGTGTCTTACGTTCCCAAACAAAATAAGTCTGTGACTTAAAATTAAGGCTGTTATTTGAGAGTGTTAGCGATTTATAACATTCTCACATGAATTACAGGTGCCCTTTTTTCTATGAAAATCACACAGCTTTTTTCATAGTCGCCGCAGTTGCTATAGCTATAAAAACTAATTTTTAAGGTGTGAAAATTGCGACACACGCTAAATGGGCTTGATTTTTCGTATGTCTCGAAGTCTGTGGACCTTTTTGTATGCCTCGATAACATTCAGCAGATTATTTTCACCCAAACTAAACATTGATGTGGATTGTCTGTGAACTCTTTCTGAAGGTCACAGAAATCTGAACGCGTAATTCGGTGTTCTTTCGCATCTGTTATAGGTAATTTGTGGCTGAACGCTGTCACCTGCACGCGCACTGTTTTAAACTCTGAATATTAATAACGTATAATATATTATTTTTTATTGGTAATGGCATTATTTCAACCTGTTATTTTAGATATTCATCATATCCATCCGTTTCTTGTTTTTTTTTAATGTCAGAGATTAAATTCTAAATTTATATAGCGCGAATAGTCAGACGCCAAATTGCCAATTAATTCGGAGTGCTGAAGAGAGACAACATCACGTATCGGGCTTTTCTGTCACAGAAAAACTCATGAAAGAAAGTCCTTGCGTGACGATCTTTTGATGCGTGTCAAATACCTTCGTCAGGGAGTAATAGCAATAGTAGTATTGTTACTGTAAATGTCCTAAATGCGGTAAGCCCTAGGATAAGCGCGCTAAAACCTAGGATAAACGCACTAAACCTAGGATTTACCAAAAGCATCTGGTAAAAGCCCGAAAACTAAATATTTTGCTTCCATTTCGGACTTTTACTGGACCCAAACAGTAAATCTTAGGATTTAACACACCGCATTGGTAAAATCGAATAAGCAAGTGGTAGTAAAAATCTACCAACCCCACCTAAAAACCACCTAATAATAACCACCTAAACCACCTAAATAACCACCTAACCAATGCATTAACACTTCAAATAACCAGGCTAACCAATGCATTAGCACCCTCAAAATATCCAGGCTATCCAATGCATTAACACCCTCCAAATAACCATCTAACCAATGCATTTACACACCCCAAATAACCAGGCTAACCAATGCATTAACACCCTCCAAATAACCAGGCTAACCAATGCATTAACACCCTAATTAACCTAATTAGTTAATGCTTTTGGTAAATCCTAGGTTTAGCGCGCTTATCTTAGGTTTTACCGCATTTCGGACATTTATAGTAACAAATATAAGACTGATACGTTACAAAAATAGATATCGTGAAACGATAATCGTTAAAATTTCAATGCCTAAGTAAACAAAAACAGAGATGTCTTTGTATATCGACGTCCATAATTTGTCGAAATTGTTGCTATGAGAAAAATAATTCGTACTTTTAATACTCAATGCGGTGTGGTAAATTTATAGATTTACTGTTTGGGTCCGGTAAAAGTCTGAAATGGAAGCAAAATAAAAAGTTTTCGGGCTTTTACCACTTGCTTTTGGTAAATCCTAGGTTTAGCGCGCTTATCCTAGGTTTTCCCGCATTTCGGACATTTACAGTGACAGTATTAAGCTATATTGTAGGTAATGTATAATGTGTATATTGTAAGCTTTGTGTAGGTATGTGTATATTGTAAGATATGTGTATACACTTCGCACTAAAAGAGGTTCTAAAAGAACAATGCTCGACTGCAAGGTCTGCTAGTAACATTTTCAAGCTTTTTATTTATTTAAACCAAAAACACGTATACAAAAAAATCGCGCCCTCAATTACGAATTACGTAACAAAAGTTTAATTGATATGAAATATGTAGTATATCGCATTGTATAGAATGAGAAGAAGTCAAGTTTTAAATCTAAAATATGCAAGCTTTGTTAGTCCATTTCACAGCTTTATTGGTGTTTATTTATTTGGCAACATTGGTAGTTTATGAACATGTTGCAGCACTGAATATAGGGGTTTCTCATAGCACAACTTCTAATAAGGTAATTGGTTAATTGCCAGCAATTAGTAATTTCTCTGAATATAATTTGTGCCGTGTGGCTGAACGGTTATATGGTAATAAAGGTAATAATACAGTTGCACGTGTTGGAGCATTGGTCTTGAATACGAAATCTGAAATTAGCCTTAAATCAATCATTGATACAAACTGAAATTCCTGCAGGAAATTCAGTAATCTTCGTTTCTTCAATTATATCTCAATAATTATATTTACGTTAAAATTAATATTACTCTAGTGTAGATACAGGGTTGTTTACCACATACGACACGGAGTATTGTAGCTAAACTTTTGGGTTCGTTGAAGGACTATATTAGAGTTACAACTTAAAAATATTTCTAAAAAATACAGAGTGTCCCAAATAAGTAGAATGTGGAATGTTTAGGAGGGAGTTAATCACCGCGATATCTGTGTGTGTTCCCCTTTCTTGAGTTATAACGCATCATACAGTTTATAACCCATCATACAGTTTCAGGGCTTTAACAAAAGCCAGTATCTGTGACAGCTCCACAGAGGTAGCTCTCCATCCTCCCACATCAGCCGTACCAAAGTTCATGGCACAATGGTCATCGTCTCGGCACTCAGTGATAAGGTGTTCAGATTGTTTCCCCATTTTCCCCACAGAATCACCATTCGCCGTTGTTTCTCAGCTTTAGCCTATTGAGGTGTTCGTTGAGGAGACAGTGTCCTGTTAGAAACCCGTGACAATCCGAAGATTGCTTTTACTTAAATCAAGGAAAACCTTTAATTTTTCTCGGTCGTAGTTGTGAAGAACTTTTTCAGTGTCTTAGACCGTCGGGAGACACCCATTTCAAGTTACGGATGGAGTCTTCAAAATTCTCAGTTCTGCTTTCAGTTGGTTCCCGTTGGGAAAACAGAACGGTTCTGGTCAGTTAGTGGGAATGTTCGCTCCTTTCCTAGCTATATCATTTGCTTTTTAGAAAAGAATACATACTCTTTGTTATTCTCTAAAAAGGAGTGATACAAAATCCTACTAAGAATATTGCAAATTTTTCAGTGTTCTTTATTTAGATATCAATTTCATTATTAAGGTATTCGCAATCCACAATTCCCAAAAGACACATTTCTAATATTAAAATTTCCCACAAAATGAATAAGTTCTTTAATTTAAAACAGCGATGAAGGCAATAAAATTTAATAAAAATAAATAATTTATATACCCCACTTCCAAAAAAGTGAAATTATATAAATTAAGTGAATCTGAATGTGGGCAACCACATGCATTGATCGAACTTAGTAGATATAACAGAGGAACATTTAAAAATAAGTTCTTCGTCCTATTGCTACCAAAAGTCCTTCTTCTTATTTTAAAAGAACTTTTTTTTTTTTTTTTTCTGTTTATTTTGTAATTATTTTTTTTTTTTTTTTTTTTTTTTTTTTTTTTTTTGTGTTATATTTGTCTTTATTAACAACACTAGACATGTACATTCATGGTCTTTGACATTAAACATGACAAAACTAGTATGTGAAAATGTAATTATAAAAGTATTATTAATGGTGTTCATGCAGGTTTTAGTGTTTGTGAACCTGTCTGAACCCTGTAATTGTTAAAACAGATTGAGCGCAACAATGTTCAAAATGTTTCAGGCCAATGATAACATGTTGGTATTAATTATAAAGTGATGACAATGTGGGGTTCAATATCATCAAACATACTCTAAACTATAAAAGATATTCTAACAATAATATTTTGATTTTAAGTCATGAGTCGTATTCTGATCCTATGCTGAAAAACAATTGGTGCTCTTTGCAATTGTATGTGTGTCAAAATAAATCTTTAATGTTAAAATCGATGGGATTTGTTCATTGGTATTCGATGGCTGTGGCAGCCGCAAAGAAACTTCAATGTTCAATAAGGATATTGACGATATATTTTGCCAAAGTATCGTCTTTATTCAATTGCCGCTAAGTAAAATCAACAATATACATGCCAATACCTCAATTATCGTCTTTTGCCGCACAGAATATCTCGAAAAAAGGTGATTATTATACTAAAAAAAATAAAAAAAAATATTTTTCTTGACATTTTCGAGAAATGCCGCTTGTTCATTCACCTCCAGACCCTACCAGACAAACATAATGCAATGTTCTTCGGTGGAAAATATCCTTCTCAATAAATAACTGCCATAACTGAAATAACTGAATGGTGGCAGAACAAAGATGAACAATTTATCTCCGAACCAAATTCGCTATGCATTCGCCCATCAATAAATAGTCTTCTGTTATGTTATTATAATATAATAATATATGTTGGCTGCTAATGTAAATAAAATAACGTATTCCTCGATGGTGATATAAATGAATGAAAAACTTCGCTGGAACACGATTCGTGGCGGGGCTAGTATAACTACCGTCTTTGTTAAATAAAACAACGACGACACAACGTTTGTAAATAACGTGCAGTTATATTTCTTCATTCAGGTAAATATACGGTAAACGCAAAATATTTATTTAAATCGCAACCTCGTTGCCGACTATTCGTAACGCCCTGTCGATTAGAACCAGACTTCCTGGTATTAATCTGGTAATGATTGCTCTAACGTTTCATTGTCTGTGTGCGGCAACCGTTGGTCAGGACTATTTAAGTAAAATGACCATCAAATGCCGCCACAATCTATGTTAATAATGCGCAACGCCATACTGCGCATGATTCGAAAAAAAAAACGATATTCGACGACACAGAATGACAATGGACAACACGGTGAAGACAATCTCGGGCGTGCAAACATAACAAAGGAGCTAGACAATTAAGATTAAAATGAATACTTACCAGACTCTCTTCCCAAATTATTTTAG